CTTCCTACTTGAAATGCRCACTCCACTGTACAGCGTGGCATGCCCCTTAAGAGTAACAGGATAAAGATGCTTTTTTCTAAAAAAAGGAATTTCTATGCCAAGCAGCATGTACAGAACATACTTTTCTGGCAATGAAGGGGAATTGGATACAAGTAGTGACATATCTATGTAAACAAAATACTCATGCAAAGAACAGGAGGGTATGTGGCTCTTTCAGGCTCCAGGGCTTTTCCCTCAGCACCAAGTATGTGATTGGGTTTCTTGCTGATCACCACATGGACAGGGCCAGCAAACTTGGATCAGGAAGGGAGAGGGCAAAGAGCAGGAGGAGAAGGGGTCAATTACTTGCTCCTGCCATAACTGTAGGTCTCTATATTTAAGCAAAGAGGCTGTTTCTTTTCAAAACTCTACCCTGTAAATAGTATGCYACTGGTGGAAATAGTGATTTAGAAGCAGCTTGTCATCTCACTTAAATTTAAACAAGATGGGATTTTTCCTTTTCTCTGTAGAGAAAAAAACAAGGCATAAACTGAGCCTCCTTGGAAGTTCCAGTGTTCTGATCTAGGGAATAGTATTTAGCTTGATTTTATATCATTTTAGTTCGGACTTGCAACAAATAAAAGGAAGCTCTAGGAAAAGGAAACACTGATTTATTTCAACTTGCATAGCCTTTTTTTGAGATAAGGTGGGGAAAATAATTTGATTATAGGAAAAATCCTATATTCCCCAGAACAGAAAGGTCTAGAAAACTAACGATTTTTGATCTTAAGGTTAAGGGGTTTCCCCCCCCCATTTATTTTGATGCTGTCATGATCTGAAATCCTCTGACTCACCATGCTAGACTCTATGCATTTTTATCAATTTTCAATGAAGCCGATTGTTACAGTGATAAGGAAACTTCCTCATTTTTTTCCTCCCCACAATAATAACAGTTAATTCTGCAACAAAGAAGTCATACAGTTGTTGTTACAGTGTGGTAATATTACAGAGGCCACTTTGAGGAGTGGTCTGAAGAGTATTTGCCAAACCTTTTGATCCTTAGTAATCAGAACAGAAGTGCCCAAAATCCAGAGATTAAAGGATTAGGCCTCAAGAAAGACTTGTGGTATTTCAAGAAAATGTGACTGATGCTCACCACTTATTTTTTTTACAGTGCTGATGAGATTTAGTGTTTAAGGTCCTTTCCTGTTCAGACATAAAAGCTGCTGTAATCAGAGTATTACTAGGGAAAACTACACTGGTTGGGGATTCAATATGTTTAAATTGCTGAGCCAAGGTTATTGTTTGGATTAAGTTAGAAAGGATGATACTAAAACACATAAGCTTCAATAGCGCAGCAAAGCAGAGAAGAACAAAGAAAAACATTTAGATATTTAAAGTGAGATGGAATCTAGAGACGGAGAGATGGAATCCAGGTTGATTATACCTATATAAAGAGTATCTTAGAATGAGCTGGAAAATAGATAGAGCCTTTATGTCTGCGCAGCTCCTAGCAGCAGGACAAACACTTCAGCTGAACAGAAAAGCAGAGGGGTCCTGGGGACGGAGGAGCCTCGTTCCTGCGCCCCTTCCCGCCGCCCAGTGCTCGCCGCAGGAACAACTCGATAACCATCTTGCTATGCAAAAACAATGGTCTACTTTATATCATAGGCAGGTATTATCTGATGAGAAAACGCCAGCGTAAACATGCATTCCCATGCACAGCCATGCGCTCCTAACCACCGCTGGATTATTGAGGCTGATTAGGGAAGGCAACAAAACAACAAGCAGCTGGCTGGGGAATCCCCACAACAGCTGGATTATCGATTTAGCAGCTCCACATCGTCTAGGTCCTGACACTCCACTATATTTGAAAATGCCATGAATTATTTAACATTGACAGTTGCCATCAGTCCAAGATGGCCAAGCAGTAGTTTGTTACCRCTGGCCTCTCGCCTACATATAGTCCTCACTGACTTCAGCTCTACCACATACAAAGGGCAATATATATCCCTTGGCATGATTCCTGGTCTAAAAATGGTTAGCATTTGCACATATGGCATGCTACTTATACTATTTATTTAGCATGGGGCTCAAACTAAAACTTAAGAAATTTTAAAAAAAGAACAACATGAGCAAGGTATTGGGTATGCTGTCTCTTGAGCACAACACATTCACAGGGATTTTTATGCAATAAAACACTGTCCTTTGACACTATAAATCCTGTGTTTCGAACAAATAATGGCATACACAATCAGAGCCCATTGTTCCCCTATAATGACAGCAACTAATGGTATTCAGGCCTTTATTAAATAACCCAATATATATGACAAGAAAGTTTTAAGGAATCTTTAACCCACTGGTAAATGCAACATGTCTGTAACATCTTTGCCTCAGAAAGAAACTCAGTGATGAGACCAACATTAAATAAGGTAAAAGCAAACAATGAATAAACAATGAAAAAATAGGCATTTTCTATTACTATCCTGTGAGAGACAGGTATGTTCTGGAGGCACACACAGCTTAGAAGTTAAGTTAGTGTTACACATCTGGTAACAGAGAACCAATTATCTATACACATTACTTACATAGATCAGATAGTATATGGGATCAAGTCTTCATCTTAGATAGTAGAGGTTATTCCGATGAGAATTATGTATACAGAGATATCTTCCATGAGAGATTATCTCACATATAAAGAGGAACGAAAGAAAGGCAGCTATTTTTGGACCCACTATTTTAAATTTAATAATACTTGAATATAGTTTTATTGATTAACCTCTGATTTTAGTTACTTCTTAAAGAAATATATCTTAAAAACAACCAACAACAAAAACAAACAACAAAAAAAGCACACACATAAACACATGTACAACTCAAACTGATGTTCCTCTCCAAAACCAAAACCCAAGTAGTAGCCTATTTCTGACTTGATAAAAGTTCTGCAGTCAGCACATGAGGACTTTGTGCAATTGTCTCATATKATATATTCCCTTGATATACTTGATGCATCTTTTCTGGACATTAATCTCTCAAAATGGATGAGCAATTTCTTCTCCAACACATCTTGCATTAAATACTTACGAAGAATATTAGATAACATAATGCTTCTCATGATGTACAGATTATATCCTCTTGGTTTACTCAATTAATCTGAAATTTTGCTTCAACTATTATAGAAAGAGCAGCCAGCCAGGTAAAATATTTTACATGCTGATTCTACAGAAAGCTGTGGTAGGCTGGGTCCAGTACACAGATTACGAGCCATCTCTATTTCCTATATGTTTAAGTCCAACAATACRTGTAGGATTGCACAAGACAAAGATAATAAAATCTTGGCCCTAAGAACCTTAAGATCTATGTTGGCATATGGTAATCTCAAGTGGGATTAAAGTAGTTTGCACCAACTGCAGAGCACTACATGTGCTTTTCTGCACAAAAATGAGCATTACTGCAGTGATAAATAACAACTGTAAGCTAGGAAGAAACCTTTGTAAAGGAAGAATTAAAACAAAAGAAAAAGAATTGGAGTCATATAGATCTAGAATCCTAGTTAAGGAAGCCAGCTTTAAGGAGGTGCTGCAATGACATTAGTAACAAAAGCAGCACACAATTAAACACAACCCTGAATGGAGTTATATGGTGAGTTGCGGCTATAAACCTTAGGTTTCTTGCTGAAGTGACCTGTCTTGTGAGTAAACTACCGAGATACTGCACATATATTCAAAAMACTTCAGATATGACACAAATAATGTTAAATGCTAATTAAAACTGTATTCCCCCCGAGAATGATTCATACTATTGCTCATTTTAAAGCAGTGATAGTTTAACTTGAATATAATAAGTACAAACCACAACTATTTGTCATATCAGTGTTTCTCTACCACTGTGTGAGCTTTCTTCCAGGTTCTAAATATGCCTAATGAATATGAGACAAATCTCTTTCCATAGCTCTTTATGCATCTTGCTATTGGTTGCTATCAAATATAAGCCTGTTCTCTACCCAGCTACCAACTGTGTATTACAGAATTAACCACAACTGTTAAGGTTGAATCAGGTCACCTTCAAAGTGCTAAAACCTTAATGGACTAAAGGATCAAGAATATAACACAATCTCTTATTGCTGATTTCTGTGTCTCCCCAGAAAGAAACTTAAAACGCTAAGAAATATTTATTTAAAAATAMCAGTTTTAATAGTATCTCAAAACAYAGACAGTTGATTTCCAAACCCAGCTGATACATCTTATACAAAGACATTTCAACTAAAACATGTATTAAATAAATCATGTACTGTATCTTATAAAAATTGTGCAGCATCTGCAGTCTTCATATATATGTATGTTATTCTTCCCAGAGGGCTCTGAAAGAAAATTGTGTTACTGTTTTTAACATATTTAATCATTTATGTTATCATAAATTGCCCCTCTTTTGCTTATTAACAGTCAGCTAAAAGMTGACTAGAAAACCAGTGTCTCTAATCTCTCTAATCCCAAATAGTGATTTTGTTGCTGGAGTAACTAACTAGCAGAAATCCTCTATAGCTAATATTTCTGGTATTTTTAATGTCATGATCTTTTAGCTAGAGTGGATGAGAATTTCAAAAGTAATAGTTATATCACTAAAATGGAATTTAATTTCTGCAATTTTTTTTTTTTTTTAATCGGGGGATGGGGGAAGAYACTACTGTTTATCAACTGCATTGTTGTTACATTTAGCTGGTCCCACTAACCTGCTACTCATTCTCTGAATTCATTTCTCTTTGAATCCCCAAATATTTCCAARAAATCTCACTTCAACTTTAAAATTCCAGTCTCTGGAAGAATCCAGTTTATTTCCTTAACAGAAGCCAATCTTTYCCCCTCTATGGAAGTCTATTATTGACCTCCAAATTTCTCCCCAATTTAAATGCCATAAGTAACCTATTTGCAGTGTGTCAGAAAAACAAAACTATACTGGATTGACTTCTTGGCTCTCCCCTCCCGAAGTATATTCTTTTTCCCCTCACATTTACAGCAACCCCAATGTTACTGTTGGGCCCTTCCTCTTTCTATCTGGATGCCATTCCCATCCTGCTGATCCAGCACAGGCTCAGCACCCTGCAGTACGTGATCCAGCACAGGCTCAGCACCCTGCAGTACGTGATCCAGCACAGGCTCAGCACCCTGCAATACGTCGCTTTTCCACCTTCTCCTTAGCATTAGAGCAGGTGGAAGGGAAGGGCTGAGCGTCACCAAGAGACATGGCTAGGCTACAGACCGGCAGCATCCATTAGTAACCAACTTGTGAAAAGACGAATGAATGAATGTGCAACTGAGTGGGAGAGCAAGTACATGAAAAAGAGAGGAGTAAATAGAGGACTCGAGAAGAAAGAGAGATAAAAATCAAGCTGTGGGAGTAAGAGGAATCGAGAGAACCACACCTCCCTCCCGCCCGCCCCGCCGCCATGTTGGAGGCGGCCATGGCGGCGGCGCCGGGGCCCGCGGCCGCTCGGGGCTGCGGTGGCCGCAGCAGAGGCGCCCCGACGGCGCCCGGCTAGGGGCAGGGAGCGCCTCGCGCCTGCCCT